GTTCAAAAATCTTGCACATGCAAATGATCCAATACCAGGGTGAGAGAGCAGGTAGTAGTGGGCGCGTACTGCTCGACACCCTGGGGACGAGGTTGCCCATGAACAGCACCAATGTCATCATCACCATCGCCATGTTATTATGGCAAAATAATTAGACCTCATACTTTCCCGTCATTTCAATTTGGGACCCGTTTCGCTTGATGTCCACTTATACGCATCTCAAAAAAATTCTGTCCACATCTTCACCCGTTGACCTGTGGTAGAAATGCCGTAGGCTCTTGACTGCAAATCGAACGTGCGGTTTCACATCGATTAATGGAAAAAAATAGCCTGCATAATAATTAAGCTGAAAGTTGCTCTGTTGGTTGGTTTAATCTTCTACCCATTTCCTTGTCCTTATTGTATAATGCTTTATTATAATGGTAATGGAATAGTGGGGAGTGTGGCCTAGTGTGGCCTAGTGGTTAGGGTTCGTGACTCATGATCAGAGGGTCCGGGGTTCGAATCCAGCTGCTGGTCATTATGTTGTGTCCCTGGGCAAGCCACTTCACCCCCACTTGCCTTTCTCCAACCAAGAGTATAAATGGGTACCGGCATTAGCTGAGGAGTAACCTGCGATGCTACTCAAACTGGAGATAAACGCCGGCCTGAAGGGCCACACTGGCTCGTGACAGACTTTACTTAATATGGAATGACTAAAATAGTAGCGTTTGTGCTTCTTATTAGCGGGAGGCATTTTTCAATGCATTTCGCCTGTGTGGAGCTTGCTTCCACAGCGAACTCTATGAGCCTCAAAATGTTAAAACGTATCGATTTGTTCTCACTACGAGTTGGTCAATTTCCGGAGCCCGGCTTTTTTCCCTTTTAATCAGCAAGGTGTAATTAACCAGAGTGACTGCTGACTTGTAAGTGCTTCATTACAATAATCACTGTCGCTGCATCGCTAATAATGGCCATCGTACAGTCGTGGACAAGCCATGATCAGTATAAAGTGAAAGAGGTATTTGCAGACATGTTACGCAGGATTTATAAAAACCTCTCACGGAAACCCCTGGACTCTAATTTTGTTTCACCATGTATGGTGCACACGATCTCTTAACCCCCCAAAAGTCGTTTTAGTTTCACACATTTTGTTCTAAATGAGTCTCATTATTATTGTAATGATCTTGGTAATCACTCTGTACCAGTCATTATTGTTTCCATAGTGTCAAAATTAAGTAGGCCTGCTAAAACAAAGTGTTCTAAAATTGTGTTCTGTCAAATTCTCTCCTAATAGAGACTTTTGTGGCCTCTGCTCTTGAGGGTTGTTAGCAATAATGGGTCCCACTACTGAAGTCTATAATATGGAAAATTCCCTCGCACAACAAGGGTCTATGATAATGTGAGCAGATTCAGCGACTAATTGCAAAACAAGACTGCGTCTTGACCTCGAGATTCTTACCATTCAACCTTCTATATCGGGTCTTCGGTAACCCGTTGTTGTATTTCAAAAACGTGGCATCCAAATCTACCAATCAACAGCTTAGTCCATATTTCTGATCGAAACGACGTCACAGTTTCCAAAGTCGACTCCGATTGGCTGGTGCGAGGGGTCGCATAACATTTACATGCCAGGATAGGCCTATATCAGATGTTCGACCGTGGCTCTGCACATCACGTGAATGTCTGATCCTCAGACTACACTTCTGAGGCGGTCTTTGAACTTGTGTCTGAGAAATTGGGGATGAAACTGAACCCAAACGTCGCTCTATTTTGCAATGGAGTGGAGAGATCATTTTTCAAAGAGGCGATGGGCTTCAATACTACTTTCATGGGTTATTGTCTTCGGGTTCAAAATCACCCAAAAGTCATCGGTTAACCCCTAAAAATCAAACAGAAAGTGGAAGATGGATGCCATGAACACCTGTCGGAGTTGTATTATTCCCGACTTTTCATTGGCGTCTATACGAAAATTTATGGACTGGTTTGCACCTTTAATACGCATGGTATAGATAACCACGACGTCTCAACTGTTGTGAATATCGCAACACAGCGTCAGGGAACTACACATCTGAGTGGCTAAGGGTGGGGCAGTTTTCTTGGTGGGGCTTACGTTCCCTCTTTTGGGGGTGTTATTCAAAAGAGGGATGCTGTCATTGTTGCCATCATTTATATCAAACAAAACTTCTGGCCAACTTTTGCAAACAGCAGATAATTCAAGAAGTTCATTATGATGTCCCATCCCCTCACCCGCCTATTACCTTCCACTTTTCGTCAAAATGACCAAATGTAACATACATGGATTAAACAGTACAACCTGTGGACAGTAATGAATGCACCAAAAGACATGGATTAGCTTTTTTTTCATGTTTTTTTTTATTTATATGTTTTAAAGACTTTCACAGGCGTATAAAGTATAAGCAGTTTCACGCTCCGTACAGTATACGGAGCCAAAGCTCCGCCCACAACAAAACACCGACTTTCAGCGATTTTATTTTGCACTCGACTTTGCACTTTCATACTTAAAATAGTTTGTACGATTAAAAAAAAATGTCTTTTCTGTGTACATGTACCATAAGTCTATTTTGTGAAACTGAGAATTGGCGAACACCTTTTAATACCGTTGGATTCAAAACACATTGCACTCACAAATTTTTAAATATTTTTTTCTGAAGAAAAATGGTTTTTGTGTGAGAGCGTTCTATAACTGTATACAGACTTTCCACAGAAAAGGCATGTGGTTTTTGACTTTACAAATATTAAAAAGGAGAAACTTCGAATGGTGAACAACATACAACGTGGTGATGGAAAAAACTATAAAAACAGCGAAAATGGGCATTGTTCATGTACAAAAAGATTACAGATTTTGAATACATCATCAGGAGAGGCACAATTTATATTAATATTAATCCATAGGTCAGACTGTGGAACTGTCTTTAGTTACTTGCGGTTTCAGATATATTCATGGCACCAAGGCCGCCACCAAGTATGATGTCTGGAGACCGCCGCTAATTGGCGCCAGTTAACTGCTGTATGAAGTATTGTTATCGTCGATATTTTGATACAGCTATTAATTTGTCTATACTGCAGCAGATAATGACAGTTTCACATTCTGAGAAATTTCTTTGAACATATACTGAATACCATCACTGGTTCAAACTTATAAGAAAGGCCTATTCCTTAACAACATTTCTGGCAGTGGTTTGTCATTGATTTTTTTGTCAATAAAAAAGGCAATTTTACGGGAGATTAAAGGGAAAGAATAGTCCCTTGAAATTACGAATTTTATAGAGAGCGCGTATAAAGGTTTGCCGAGTTACAGTACAGAGAATGCAACATTATACTGCTCACGTACAAAGCATTGACAAAACATTTCCACTTATTGGTCCGATGTACATTTTTTTTTACAAACCTAGTACACAATTCTACTGAGTAATCTGATATATTTATTTATCTGTGAAATGCATATTCATTAGAAAAGGCTTCCAATCGATTGGACTTGTTCACTTGCAAAAAGTTTCAGGTATACAAATTTGGGGTATATTCACAATTTCAAAAAAGGAGTCTTCTCGTATTTTGGTCAAAAGTAAAACGATCTAATCAGATTCCTCGGCTTTTAAGCTGTATTGAAAATGGAAGACCTCAAATTGTTGAAGGAGTAGCCTGTTTTTAGATCACAGAGATGGGAATTTCGCAGAGAGCCATAAAAAGGACTGCAAACTATGTTAAAAAAATAGTAAAGGAACACATCTTGTGAAAAAAAATCACAAAAATATGTAGAGCCGTTTAGTGAGAACAGGGGTCGGTCTTCTTTGCGAAGTGAAGGACCCACTGACTCCTTTATATGTTTTGGTGTTCATATTTAGTTCAAAGGCCACACCAAAACATTATTGAAACTCCAAAAAACACCCAACCGGTCCAGACCAATTTTTTTCTTGGGGAGGGGGAGGACCACACAATATAGGTCGCCCAAGTTCTTTTGACAGCCCAAACAATGCTTTTCTCTAGCTGTTGTTTCTGGGCCGTGAATGAACCGCTACTTGCACCTGCTCCTGAGCACAAAGGCCCATTTAACGGGCTGAATAGGGCAGGATATAGGCTGTGCTCTCTAGCTACCCAAGTGGAACTAAGCCGGCGGTTCAAACCTCGCATGCAGTGACTGGGCCCGTGTACTTTGTGTTATTGAAAAGTGTTCAAAAACATGGCCCCCATTTTTCAAGCTTTATTCATATAAATAAGTGAATGGTAAAGAAGCCATTGGCCCCCGGGCAATGGAGGGTGTTTTTTTTTGGTTGTCTCCAGTTTCGAAGAAACAAAACATGTCTTCTGGTGTTACCGGATGAGTTAAAGAATTTCTTTACTTCTAAAGGCCACGGATTCTCTCAGGTGTGCTTGTATACAGGCAGTGACAGTCCAATCTTTGTTTCCCATAAATTTGATCACCTTTTTAATATTTCTGTGCTCCCTCCCGGCCCCTCCCATTTGCCATCTCCCCCATGAAGAAATCTTGTGGTCCCAGGGTGCTGTTGACTGTCTGGAATATCAGACAGCGTCAAACCACGTGATAATATTCTATATTAAGGATGTCATTGGTATGGCAACACATCCGTATGATTTGGATGATAAAGAAGAATTCGTCCAGTTATGAAGAAGGGTTTTATAGTCTGAAATGTGGTCCTCGAAGCACCATCTAAATACTGTTTCAAGTAGAAACCCAGTGTTTCGTAAGTTTTACCAAAGTTTGGCTATAGTGTACTTATTTTCACGGATGCTCTTGGAAAAAAAACCCCAGTTTTGCCTTTGTATTGAGCTCAGTATATTCCTGATCCAAGGAAATTAACGAATCGGCTGTTATTTAAGTCTTGACATCTAAAATTTGTGTAAGTACATGCTGCCATTGTCAATAGCATCCTCCTTTTCCTGCAAATCATACATTGTAGTCTTTGGGTATCAGGTAAAACATTGTGATTAACCATGAACAGAACTGCAGATATCAAAATGACAAAAGGTTTAGCAAGTGCTTCGTTCTTTAAAAAAAGAAAACATCTGCCAGTTTGGTTCATTTATTTCGGATTCCAAAATCACAAAATACCAAATACGATAATCCAATGATTTTCCACATTATGTATATACAAATGTGCATTTTTTACTTTCCCTATAAAATATACACAGCATATACAAAATTGGACAAAATGCCAGCGAAAACACCTATCGCACTGGTGAGAAAACGGCCAAGAACGGAGCATGATAATGTCCGGCACAATAAAATACATTTTGGTCCGCATGCATAGTAATTAATTCTGGTAGCTAGAAAATGGTCCTAATCGGTAAGAAACTTCTAGCTATCCAATAAAGTCATTAAAATCGATTCTCGTTTTTTTCGCCTTTGTTAGTTTAATAATTAAATTATGGAAATCAAAAAGGAAACTCTTAACTCACAAAAATATATAAAATATTTCAAGAAAATTTATATCTCAATAATTTAACAACACAATCAATCATAAGTTCCTATTTTTTGATCAGTTTAAGTTTTCATTTTTTTGCAATAAATAGGAATATGTAACAACTTTCAATAGAAAAAGGAAACTACATCGGTAAAAAGGGATGGTGTTAACCACTTTTATGTAAACGTACGTCACCGCATTATCCCAGTACAAAGCATGGCCATTCTGTATGGTACATAGCCTTACTATACAAAGATAATCAAAAACAGCGCGCTATAGAAAGCAGACACTTTTTACTAAAACACAGTTTACTTTTTCTATTTTGTTTATGAAAACTTTTTTTTGTTTTGTTTTGTCGTTTTTTTTCAAGCTTTGGAATATTGCTGCGAATTAACTATGATATAATTATCATCCAAGGCACAGTGGTATCCTTAGCTGCAGTACGTACGTACAGAAGCGGCCAGAGCCGGTCGGCAACAGGCTGCATAGAAGAGTAGTTTCTGAAGGAGAGGCGAAGTCATCAACGACAGCAATATTGGCAGTGATGTATAAGCAGGTATTTTTTTAAACAAAAACAAATGGCAGTGTTGGCATCACAGGGCGACCACAACATTGAAGACTCATACCTGTCAACAGCAAACAAAAAGTGAGAGAAAAAAAGAGAAAAATTAAATATGAGCTTTCACTGAAATATGCCACAAACTTGAAAGCTTTTGTATCTGTTTAGATTTAATGTGATCGATTCACTTTAGGAGAATTGCCACTTTTTCATTTTTATGAATTTCTTCATCCTCGCAGTCATGCATAATTACACCTCCAAGGTTCATCCAACCAAAATACCTGATTGAAAAGTATACCCAGTCAGAGAAAAGCGTAACTGGAGATTCGCAGAGACAGAGTCTGATATTGCCAACATCAAGAGGCATTTCAGACGTGATAGCATCCCTTGGATCATATTTCACAACACTGTTTGACAGTCCCAGATATAGATCAACTTTTAGTTGATGCTTCCATGACATGGGCACTTCGTGAGTGATACGGCCTGACGGTGTAATGAAATCGTCCTCCTTCTGCCATTCCCTGAACCGGGCATCGCTACAAAGGATGATTTGTAAGCCGGGGATGGAATAGTTTTCAGAGATCGAAGTTTTATGGATAAGTAGGAGGACACAGGACAACAAACACTGAGTGGAATCTTCAACTCTACTCACCTCTGTTGCTTGCAATCTTGCCGGCGTCGACCTTTCTTCGTTGAGATGTACTGAATAACACTGTGAATTTCTATTTACACTTTTTGGGTTGCTTTCTTCAATAACTGCACTGTAGAAGAGAAAACGAGTAAACGCCAAAAATGTAGAGTTAGAATTCTCTGTGTGTGGATTATTTTTCTCACGCCTATTAAAACAACCTTGGTTAAGTTAAGAAGGCTTTATACAGTACAAGAGACCTTGAAGACGAAATAAAAGAAAACGAAACATCAACCACTCAAGGCACAATTGAAGTGGATGTTAATATCGTTTTTGAGGGATAAGCTTGGATTGGATCAATACAAGGGTCCACTGTCAGATTATCATAGGTGTTATGGTGGAGTCTGTTTTGAAACGCAGGAAAATGGCCTTGTGTTTGACAGCACAGCGAAGATGTCCTTCGATGCGAAAACTGAAAAGGCATTAACACTCAACAGATTCTATAAAATGAAATTGAGCACAATTCTTCCATATACATGTACATTGTAAAAGGTAAAACATTGACAGCATCACTCCTTTGTTGTATTTTTTTGTCGTGACTACAACTATTTGGAGGCTGACAATTGAAATAAACGATGAAAATAAAAGTGAAGTAACAGCAACTTTTTTTTCAAAATACGATCGTCTGCCTTAAGTTTTTGCCATCCTAAAGCCAACTGAGTTTACATGAAGTATTCGGTCCCTTAAACAACTTCATGATCATCAATGATAGATCAACATGACGCGCGCACGTTGAAGTACTCTCCTCTCTAAAATGCAATTACTCGATACGGTTTGTGCTGACGTCACCGCTTGGCGACTGCCGATCGGGTTCAATTTTGGAGCACGAGCCATGCGCCGCTCAGTTTTGACAGATGGAAAAGATATTAATGTGATATCTGAACGTGTGTAGCTCACATCACGCGTCCATTAACGAAACAAAATCGCGCTCAACACCGAAGTAATTTCCTTCGAGTTGATGGGCCAGGCAAAAAGAGGGTCAGGATACAGTGAGATAATACTTACGAAATTTGCACGATGGAACACTTAATATTGTGTCTCGGCGTGCTCTCCGTTGACTGACATGTCGAGTGCAACGATTCAGTTCTTTTGAGCTGAGAAGCTTTCTCATCGTAATAATAATAACTATCCTCCGCGTCCAGTCTCGGCAACGAGTGTCTCTGGACGTAACTCATGCACTCCTGTGTGCTAATTTTCTCCACGGGCAGGCTCTCGTGGTATGTCTCCTTGGCGGAGTAGTCTTTGCACTTTGATTTGCTAAAATTGTCACTTTCTGTATTGCAAACTTTGCTGCTGATGCTGAGCAACGGGAGGACTTTCTCCTCCTGTGAAAAGTTGTCTCTGTACATGTGTCTGTTGTTGGGCGTCGAGTCTGTTTTCTCAACGTCCCGCGCACCACGTGCGTGGCTGTGGTCCACGTGTTGTCTTCTGTACACTACAATAATGAGAATGATGATGAGAATAATGATGAGCACACCGAAGGACACGTAGATAGCAATCTGGGTGACATCAGACAAGCCGTAAGAGGTGTGGATGTACGGTGAGCTGGTCCCCACGTCGCCTCCTCCATTGCCTCCCAATGAGGAGGCTGATGAGCGATCGTTGGTAGTACTACCAGGGGTGACCGACGGCTCCAGCGTGGTAGTTGAAGCCGTCACATCATGCCTCTCGGCTATTCCACACGTCTTACCAATCCAACCAGCAGGGCAGGTACACACAAAATCCAGGGGATTCGTAAGATCCGGGGAGCAGGTGCCTCCGTTTAGACACTGGTTGGGCAGACAGGCTGTCGGTACGGTGCAATTCCGGCCGGTATATCCAACATGGCACAGGCACTCGTAGCCGTTGACCTCATGGTCCACGCAGGTAGCTCCGTGGGCACAAGGGGCGGTAAGCTGGCACTCAGTCAGCTCAGTCTCACACTGGGCGCCGGTGAAGCGTCTAGGACACACGCATCGAAGGGTGTCGAAGTCAGCCACACAGGTACCCCCGTTCTTGCACATATCGGCCGAGCACACGTTCCTGCTGCAGGTGCTTCCAGTATATCCATTGGGGCAGTCGCAATAGAATCCACTCAGAGTGTTGACGCAAGTACCTCCTGGAAAACAAGATTTAAAAAAAAAAATACAAATGAGTTCCGCTGATAAATTTTTCAGATGAACCTACAGAAGTCTTCTTTGATAAGTCTTCCTTCTGCTTCTGATTCCTTGAAGAATCCGTTTCATGGTATCTGAAAGTTAAGCATTTCCTGACTTACCGTTGACACACGGGCTGCTGCTACAGTAATCTCTTGTCTCACATCGGTTGCCCACGAAGCCTTGCGGGCACAGACATTGGTGGCCATCTTGGGTTGTGATGCAGGTGCCACCATTACTGCAGCAGGTAGGTACCAGGATGGTGTCACAGTACATGCCAGTGAACCCTGACGGACAGGCGCATGCGTAGCCATTCTCGGTGCTCTATAAGTAAACAAAGAGGGAAAACAAACCAAAAAATCCCAATTAATCCAAAGCTTCTGAAAACCATACGAAAGGATCACCACGCTTACAAATTGGCAGGCATTGGTAAATTGTGTTCATTCTTTTTTTCACGACCGCCTGGGATGTTTTAATTGGCGTTAAATTAGCCTCCGGTTGCCGGAGTACACTGTAGCTGGACCCATCAGCATATACAGCCATTAAGTGTGCATGCTTTTTCATCCATGTCCATCGTTAAAATTAATGATTCATGTGACTGATGCTACTGCCTCTTACCTGACATGTACCACCATTCTGGCAAGGACACTCAACCGCCACACTGCAGTCGATACCGGTGAATCCCGGCGCGCAGTAGCACGTGAAGCCTTCGGGTTGACCGCCGTTCTCGCAGGTGCCTCCGTTCTTGCATGGCATGTGGTTCGTGCAGTAATAAAGATCTGCAAATAGAACGTTTCCAACTTGGATAAGCATACCAGGGTCTTTTTTTTATAAGATGCAAATGAGGTATAAAATATGGATTTCAAGCTACCAGCAGAAATGCCTGGGAGTTATATAACAACTTATAGAGAGAGAACGAGTTATTGGTTTTGGTGGGTCAAGTTACCTTGATTGCACAGCAGATCACCCCAGCCCGGATTACAGATGCATTCTCCAGGTACCGTGTCGCAATACCCGTGAACACAGCCTTCATAGGGAATACACTGGTCGCAAAGTTCCCCTTCCCAGCCATACTGACATCTGTAAAAAAAACCCAAATGATTTCAAAATGTTAATTTAGAGACAAATCAAGTAAGCTTTCAATTAATGGAAAAAGAAACAAAATCGAATGGACTGTTTCATTATTTCAATATTTGTTTTTGACAAAAGTACATCAATATTAAACGACACAACATAACACAAAACAATTCATTCAAAACACATACGTGCATGTTCCTGGCGCTGAAGTGCATGTTCCATGTGCACAACCTTCGGCACAGATTGCTGCAAAAATAGGTAAAGAAAAGAAGAAAAAAACATGCATGATAATAAAACTCTATTATATCAAATTTTGCAGATACTACGCACGATGTTTTATCGCCCATTAGTAGCGAAAGGCACGCGCGCGTTTCCTATTAATAGAATCTGGATATTATCAAGGGGTTCTCGTATTTCCCAGGGTAGGAGATTTGCAAAGGGCGGCCATTACATTGACAGCAACCATGCGGTGCGTTGATGTCATGTGTGTAGACGTCACGTGACACGTGCCCCTTCGGTTTCGATTTAGCGCGAGTGTGCGCCTAATGCGTGGCGGTAAATAGCGATGACAAGATCTCAGCTGCACCCAGAAGCGTTGCCAGGGCACTGTAGCGTTAAGGCCATCTTTTTTTCTTTTCTTTTCGCGCGAATCATAAGTTATGCTAATTTATGCAGACAGCTGTCCACCGCCGGCACAGCCCGTGCGCGCACGCGACATCGTTGTTGTTATCAACCATGCACTACGTCTCCATAATCCCTACATGGCGCGAAATACTGTATTGAACTCGAGTGATGGGCACAGCATAATTATCATTCATTGTAGCAAGCAGGAGGTAAATTAACGCGAGATCTCCAGAGACTCACTGAGTGCCAAGCAGAAATTTGAAGCTCTTTTTCTTAACACTTGCTTTTAATCGTTTACTCTGATTGAGATTCAATGACAGGCATGAATGCTCTCGCTTTGGTATAACCACGATGTCTGTCACAGTCAACTAGTCCCACTATGCATGGTTGGGAGCAACACACTCCATGTTGCCAAGCACATGATTTACACTGACATAGTTACCAAGGTTTCACCGGCCTTGCTTACAAATAAATTTGGGCAGCGCCATGTTTTGGTGTATGTAATTTAATTTCATTTTTATGGCGGCCTGACTGGTAATGTTACTGCGCGCAGCTGTCGCTCTAATTAGATGCTGCAGGAGCCCAGGGTCATTAGCAGTTATCAACTCTCCTTCATTGTAATGAAATGAAGGCAGGAATGCCATCCAAAATTAACCCGTGCGCGGTCAAAGCTTACTACTCGCCGGTTGCCAAGCTGCAGAATCGCAGGCCAACGCGCGTGCACAAGGACTCAGCTGCCTGATAATGATGATGATGATGCCTCATGCCTAGTATTATAAGACGATGGTGAAGCAACGGGTTGAAATGGACGGTGGATATTTTTGCATCAACCTGGGAGCCTGCCAGTGACCTGCTCGGCCTGTCAGCTCCCAGCACCGCTGGCAGTTGTTGAAAATGTGGCTCTCGCATTCGCCGAATAGCTGCGCATGGCGTTACTGGCGTACCGAGCGTGGGAAAATATATAATACAAGCTCGCCTCTTGGTTTGTGCACCACGAGGGTCCGTGCACGGCGTAACCCCCAAAGACAAATATGGCACCGTCCCGGGTCGCGCTACTCACAATCATAATAAAACCATAATTCCACATATGTTGAAGAGATGGATCGCTCTTGTCATTATTATAAATCAACTTTACGGTCGTATGTATATACATTATAATTAAATGGGAAAATAGTAACACTGATGAGTTTTATTCCAATGCAAGAAAGTTAGGCCCTACTGAATCGCCATCCAACATACAATACAGGGCATATGCCAGAGATGTCTAATTGAGAAGTCATTGATAGAGCTAGGCGTTACTCGCTTTGCCGGTGGCTTAATGCTGTTCAATCCTTTTCACCCATGACTAGTTCCTGCATAAATATTAGGTAAATCCCTCGGGAATCCAGGGTTTTCACAGCCAAATTCATGTACGTTGCATCTCTCGCGGTATATTCCCCAACCACACTAGCTTCACATCTGCCTATCCACAAATAATAACCCCGGGCTACAAACACAGATTCCCAGGGATAACTCATCGGAGAACATCACCAGACCTTTTGTCAAGGAGTTAACACGCGTTGGGACTATCATTATCGACAATTTTGTTCAAAACGATTAAGGGAATTTATTTTACTAAATTCCGAGAGTCTTCTTAGCACACAGTTAATCGTGGGTTCAATTCGAAAACCAGATACGATTTATGAATTGTAACACCAGTCAATGTCATTGTCATTTTGTGTATCAAACAAAATCGTAAATTTCTAATTTGGTTCCGTTTTTTTTTCATTTCGATACTTTACTCAAAAAGTTAAAATGGCTTCCCCTTGCGTGTCTAAGACATAATTGCACCTGGCGAACCTCCAACAATTTCCACAATATCTGCCCTGATAAAAATAAACCTATTTATTCAGCGAGTGCAAAGTCCACATATTATTATTTTCGGAACCCAAACGTTGAAACCGTCTTAGCCATAGACCTTTTCTACTGCGAATTCCAATGAGAGGTTGTTTCATCTCACTAATTACTAAGAAATAAAAATAAAAGAGCCTTTTATTTTATCCTTACCTATGGTGCAAAAGGCTCCCTCCCAGCCATCCAAGCACACTTTCTGGCCGTTTTGGTCGCATCTCCAGTGGCCCAAGCTGTCGTTCTTGGGCCGGCAAATATTGGAACATGTCGGTCCGTAGTAATTCTCATTGCAGACCACCCGATAGGAGATGTTCAATTCGTGCTGGTGCTCCTCGTCTGTGTGTGTTCTGTTCGACCACTGTGTGTCGACGTCCAGAAATTGTTGAAAGGCAACCCTGGTTAAAACCTGCCGTTCGCTACCTGTGTGCAATAAAAACAAATTAAACACAGCGTTAAATGTATAATGGGCATGTTGTAGTGTTCAATTTGTAATGACAATATCTAGCAATACACCATGTATATTATGATTCTTGAACGATGTTATAATAATTATAGCTATACGTTTCATATCTCTCTGATTTTTAATTGCCTTCACGATAGCAAAGAAACCATAATCTCCAGCAAGTTGTGTTAATTTTATTTTCAACCCATCAGCTGTGAAAACTCATTTAGGTGCTGGCCTTGCCACGTTAAATAAAACATGGTTGTGTTTGTGTGTGTGTGTGTAAAGGGATACAATAGTTGGGAGCCTGTGCCTTCATATTCTATCAGTGGCTCAAGGACGGGGCGGTATTGTGTGTGTATATATATGCAGATATTCGCGTGCGTAAGCGTGCCCCTTCGTACTCCACCTGCCGTTTGTCGAAACAAGTGACCCCTATCTCAACTGTTCCCTCGGAAGCAAATATTTACATATTGCCTATTGATTATAGTATTTGCTGCGCTCTCCAATCGATAAGGATGCAAAAAAAAGAGAGAGAGAAATATTTCAGAGTGCATATTATTTTATGACAGCTCCTATTTTGTATTTCTTCCAAAATCTCTCGTACATGTACACCCAGACGTGAACTTTTATAATGTTATTAAGAAATGTATGTTCGAATGACTCGGGTAACACAGCGAGTTTTCCAAAGACCGAGTTCGTAAGTAAATGTTAGTGGGGGAAACAGATGTTTGATGTCCCACGGTCTGAGCCAAAGAACTAGCTAGGTTGTACTCTGACCGATTTCGTGTCTATACCAACGTGTGATCGAACTGATCAACGTGGATGCTATTAGGTTACCTATCAATATGACACCATGCATTTCCCAACATTAACAGACCTAATGTATTCCACACTAAGTTCATACAGTGGAGAAAGCTGATCACAAGATATTCATGACACCGTGAACTTTATACTCGGTGCTAATGAAGCATGTTGAAGGACACTATGTGCTGGTATGCATGAACATTAAAAATTATATACTGGTTACAAAATGCTTTAAAAGACACACAACTATTAACGACAACTTTTGGCCCTGAGTGTTTCCACTTTCAACGATACATTGTAGTGGTTTTGTTTTAGCATAGAGCAGGGGTTTGGGGAAACCCTTGAACGTCTCACGGCCAGTGGCGCGTCTTAAGACGTGCCCGAACAAGCCCGCATGGGTGCGTGTGTGGGTCATTGTCTGGCCCGAATTACCATGCGGTTGCACATAGGGTTTCATTGTTTGTGTCAACGCCCAAAGGAGGTGCAAAAAAGTGTGGGTAGTCTAGAGTCTGCGAACTCCGGAATAAACAGGAAAGTTTTTTTGTCTTAACAATTGGAAACAGGCCGAAACTTGTCCGGTTGGTATCAACCGACCAGGTGACGCGTGTCCCGAGGCCCACACCGGAAATGTTGGAGGTGTTTATCGTCCGCAATATTCCCCAAATTTAAACCAGGAAATGCCAGGTAAATTGGCACGCAAAATTTGCAACCTTCAAGAAGGAATTGGATGAATGGTAGAGGGGGAAAAAAAGGAGGGATAACCAAAATAATTTACCATAAGGAAGTGATGGTGGGTTTGACATTGGGTGTTGCTAAACTGATAAGCTCGGTCTTGCCATGCTTTCCCTTGACTTCTGGCCCCGAAGTTTCGATGAACTACATTCTGTGTCCCAGGGGATCCCTTGCCAAACTTCCTCAAAAAACAAACATGGCTTTTGGGTGGATTGGATACAATTCTTGACAACACGCGAGGGAGAGATGGTAACACGCATCGCGAGTGTCCGAATATTACAGACCCGGTAGCCATTTTGTTTAATTGCAGTGTATTTTTTTCTTCCAACGTCGGAGTGGGACAAAAAACACGGTACGGTAAAACGGACGGTACGCTAGCAGCTGTCAGAGCTGGTTGGGGATCTGATGTTAACCGGTGACAAGCTGCACTGCTGCCGTGGCCTGTCCCTGTCACGAGTCAATTGGGGATACAACCAAAATGAAGAAAGACATGATCAGCTCGATAATTTGAAGGAATCTAGCCGAAGCATCCTTCGCGCACTGTATTTATGGAAGGGCAACTTCCATAAAGGGACGGGGTAGGGTTTCCGAGAGACCCTCGCTGTGCGCCAGCAATTTCAACAAGTCCCGCGTTCTCGCGAGTGCAGCCACTGAAAGATGAAATATTTGATCCACTTTGGTGTGTATTCATATACGAAAAGCGGGAATCGGAATATGAAAAAAAAAATGAAATTGGGTGATGCCGTGTTTAACCAAGCTTTACTATCATAAAGAGAACCGAGGCATACAATAATAAACACGGAATGAAAATTCTTCTAGTCTGGGCATCGATTTCCAGAGTTCTGGCACGCGTGCAGTACTCGCGCCCATCGATCCACCGCTCCGGGCCCAAGCCATCATTAAATTACATCTTTTTTTTGCGAAAAGGATTGAAAAAAAAAAAAAACCCTGAAAGAGGGAGGAAAAGGGCGAATAAATAAATAGAATTTATCTGTCTGACACACGCCTGGAATGTACGATGCAACAGGCCATGCAAAGTGAAGATGCAGATGAAATTAATATCAACATTCTGGTCACGTGACCCAAACGGTTTCCATTCAAAGAGTGCATTGCCCCCAAAGAGGGGTGTGTCACAAAGATGCGCAAACAGCCCGAAAAGCAGGTTTAAGTTTCACCTTGGGAGTGAAGAAAATTAAAATCTTACCTGGGGCGGGTCCAAGACTTGTAACGTCGTGAAACGCTTGGATTATTAACGTAAAGGTCCCCTAAAGAAACAACGCAAAAAATAATAATAAAAGACTTGTGTTGACAATATGAAATCAAACACAAAGGATTATAAATTCTACCCGCCCTCTCAAAACCGGCTCCACAAAAGTTTACAGTGGTCTTTTCAGTCACGATTCATAGAGAGAAAAAAGGGAAAGATATTTACGAGTGAAAAGCGCGAAAGCCAGCCATGCATATTATCACGAGAGCCCAGCCTGGGCCGGTGTGGGGGCAGGTGCACACGTGCTGGCCAATTAACAATCACCGTGTGCATTGTCCAACGGGCCACAACAACGGTTATCTTGAGCCCATTCAGAAGTTTCACATTGGCGCCATTGCGTTTAAATAATGCTAACAAGAATGGTAAATAATCGACTATATACCGCTACACCTTCATTTGCATTTGATTTCTGTGATGATTTACATGCGTGTACAAAACCCAAGACATTCCAATCCTCCATCCATCCAATACATACACACCACGAGAGGGTTAGATAAGAGAGAAAAAAAGGTGATCAGTACTTACCGGCCAGGCGAAATTCAACTGAACTTTCAATGGGTTGACGAAATTATTTTCCTCCGAGGGCCCAGTGGGAATATCAAATGTGTTATCTCCAAGAACCGGTGTAATTTCTTCTCCAAAAGTGCAAGCCTGTGTATTTTCCACATCAGATGGTATATCCCGCATGTATTCGAGCAAGCAAATCCTGAAAAAGGTCTCACACTGCGCCGTGCATTGGCCAGGGGAGCCCGTGCCACAACAGTTCCCTTGACTGTCCGCTGCCAGAGTGTTCCTAAACGATGATAATTCCAATTCGAACCGCTCTGTTCCCGTTACCTAAAACGTGCAAAAAAAATGGTGGAAAAGAAGCAAGATCGTTATGTATCCGTTATCTGTTAATAAATCAGGCACCATTCGCACACACACACACTTTGCATAGCGTAAGGCAGCATGGCATGACATCGCATACACACTGCACGGAGAGGACCACGCGGTTCATGAGCTTACTTCACAACAAACCCGGGCCTCCTCGGTTTATATTCCACTTGCGCATCATCCCACCAAAATTTCTCGGATTTGCACACAGAAACGAAGGAAGGTTTGAGAATGAAAAATGTACTCACCTTTGTAAAAACTGTGATGAAATAAACCATTAAAACCGTGATATATCTCCAGGAGAGCCGTAACCGACCCATGATTATATGTGACTCTGCCGCACTCCGTGTACGGCTAGCGAGTAATATCTGCCTGGTCGTATCAAAGAGCGAACACGACCGTATGCATCCGATCGGCTTTGTGGATAGGCTCCGCCTACTGATGTGTGATTGACAGTACTCGGCACGCACGGACGAATGAGGGAGTGCTGCTCACTGAATGGGGCTATGTAGTGACACCCCTTTTGGTGGTGTGTGTACGTGCACTAGTGGTATACACGGTGTGTGACACGAGTCTGGCGCTATGATCTTCTTCAAGTAAACGCACAACTCCAGTATAGGACTGTACTAACTGACTGCCGACCAAACTCTTTTCCAAATTAATCAAGTCAGTTATTCGTGAGCTCCGAACTGCCAGTACACGTGGATCACGGTGTCAACTAACGAAAGAACCCAGCGTGCGTTCCACATTCAAGACTTTAAGAGACTGATTTGCTGCGATCCGGCGTTTAGCGGAGAACTTCACCGATGCAAACTCTGTCACGAGACTTTAACACTGACGGGTCGGCCGGTATAAGTGTGTCTTAAATATTTCCCCCTCCGCATGTTATTAGCATACGATTATTCAGGCTCGCGCGTGGCACGCGACTTAAATCTCTGTTTCTAAGGAAAAGATGGCTTCGCAGTCATTTTGAACAAAGCTAGTCAATTTGCACTTCGGATTAGAAGTTAATCAGTTCATCCTATCGACTGAAAAGTTTTAACACCTTACTGCCCTCATAAACATGAACATCTGTTGGGCTCTGTTCACAGAAAATCGACTTGCTCATGTTTTACAATGTGTGTACATGTAGCAGAGAACATGATTGAATGAATGTCAATTCTTGTTTTACCCAACTAACGGCAAGGAGGAAGATGTAAAGAACATATTTTTATTGCTGGTCAAATTCCTTTGGTCGTATTATGGACAGCGTTTATTGAAATGCCAGGACGAGATCGATCGCCAAAACTTGGCACGCGTCAGTGTGTCGTCCAAACCCCTGCAAGTTTTACGATCGCTTTTGTTGTTGGCAAACGAGAAAAAAAACTTTGCCAACAATTCTCTTTGTTCGTGGCGCGTGCGCTGGGGGACGTGGCTTTTAGTCCTTCCCTGCTTTTGGCAAGGAGCCCAGTGTTGTCCCCCAAAACCCTGCCTTGCACCTGTCCGTTTCTCTTCCCCTATTGTTCGGCCTTTCCTTATCTTTGTACACATGATTAGTGGTACCCGTTTTATGAATGACCTCTAGTCAACAACCGCCGCCAACGACCAATAGGAATGCCCCATTAAGCGTGCCTAGTCCCGGAAGCGGTCACCCAATGGCCCTTATTTGCTTGTTATGCTAATTACCTACCTGAACATGGATTATTGGGTGCACGCGTACGTATGAATAGTCATGACAAGTTTGGCCTTGTGTAGTTTTTTTTGTGCTTCGTGCTGCTAAGCAGAGCTTTCAGTGTATGGTTTGGGTCAAAATGGCTACTGCCCGGTGTCATGAACAGCTACATGTACTCCAAAAACCAAATTGCAAAATGGATCAACAAGATATTTCTTGCGATTCATAGCAAAGCGACACACAACTGAACACATTTCAAATATAAACGCCTGATAGTGATACAACCAGATATTTATCATTCTGAAATATCTTACGGGCTTAATTACATACAAGCATATATTAAAGTTTACATCCGAAGTTTTTTTTTACAAGACTCCTTCCGTGTGACTAACTTTTATACGACATGCTCAACAAGCAAATTATATAAGAAGTAAAACATGTAGATCCACTACTGGGGTAGTCCCACGAGTTTCCTATTGATGACAAAGGGCCCGACATTTTTTTTACACGAATGTGGTCAGCGCATTAAAGGGGATCCCTGCATGCGCAATACCGCAGGTAATGGACATAGGCAATGCACTTAGCAGTCTATACGGAATCTCTGCCTATCATAACATGGAGATACAGAACATGACCCCTTTGACCCCGTCTAGTCTACGTCATCAGCACAGCTGGAAACCAAGGCTAAAAGGCTGGCTCTGCTAAGTAGGTGACCTTTGACACCCGACAACGACCTCCGATTTCACATTATTCAAAAAACGAGAGAAGCTATCTGACATTTAGTGGATCACAATCAGGTTTTCATTTGTAGACCATGTTCTTTTTTTAAGACCTCCTTTGTTTTATACCCAAGATGAACTTGTCACGCAGAGGTACATTAAAGCCTATCATCATGCAAATATATGACTTCATACCAAGCTGAGATTTGTTGATGTTCTTATTTATCGTCCGAAGACAATGAGTATCATTCAAAAGAGAACCTTTTCGGGTTGAACATTTATTTGTTGAGGGTACCCCCAATACTGCACCCGCACCACGTGCATCCTCTCCAAGACCCTAATTGTCACCCGCGGTCACGGTGTGTAACAATGGCACGTGCCAACGCGTGCTTCGTTAATGAGTTTTCATCGGGTACCATTTCAGACACGCGGATCTTGTCTAGTCACCAAGACGTCACCCAACATATACGTACCCCGTAACTTACACTAGTCACGTAATAACTGGGCCCAATTTTTATAAAGCTGCTTATATAAGCAGGAAATACTTGCTATACACTTAGCTAAAATGAGACGGGTGCCAGTTACAAGTAACTTGAATACTGTGGCATTTTGGCTGGTGACCAAACTTCTGTGCTTAGCAGCTGTATGAAAATGGTTCCGTTTTGCAAATCCTTCTTACCCGGCTTCTTCATCCAGGTTTTTTCATTGCAATTTTGTGGACAGTTATGAATAGAATTTGGTTTCAAGGATATAAGATGGACAAGAAACGATGATGTGTTACTGGGAATTGCATCTTCAACTCTCCATCGACGATAAAGCGGGTGAAAGATAAATGTTTAACTTATCACGATACATTCCATATTGAACAGTCCTTTTTCATTTTTACAGCAAACCGTGCATTTGACTGTCACTCAATGAGGTCTTGATAACTCGTCAAAGTATATTTTCTCCCAATCATGGGCACATTGAAAAAAATTTATGCAACAAGCACGCTGCTAACGACCTACATGCACCTGTTGTACCGACGAGACATTGGCCGGAAAAGGGAATGTTATCAGCTGGCGGGGAAAAAATAAACAACAAAACAACAAACAGACCACCTCGCGTCACATTCACCACCCTGCATAATAATAAAGTGTTTGCGAGTATCTTGTTTTAACCATGTTTTAACGTCTTATCAAGTCAATAAACGTTTGAAATATCCCGGCGTCTCGAGGGTTTATCAGCAGCACGCGTGACTCGCGTGCCGGTCATAGAACAAAGTGGACTTTATCACACTGTTGACTGTCGCTGGCACGCGTATAATTAAACGGGGGCCGTCGCATAGGCAATGTTATACGGAGCATGGGTCAATGTGATGTGTTAAGGTCTCAGATCACTGTTTATCAAAATTCAAGAATGAAACATAAACAAAATCTGTTTTGATGGTCTGAAGTAGATCTTTCCAAGTTTCACATTCCTCTGAAATACAGACAGAAAGGCGTTTTATTCGCCTTTGCCATTTTTTTTCATCCGCACGTTTTTAGCAACAACTATAGCCCTACTGTTCCCAGAGAACTTTTGAGGTTGAAAGTAATATACAACATTTGCAAACATAAAAAACTACCAAATTATTATAAAATACCTTACTTGACTGTAAATGAATAAAAGTCTCAAACATCTTGTTAAGATAATGGCACCCGGTGTGCTGTCATTTTCAAGAAAATATTTTTTTATCAATTTCCAACGACAGTCGGCCGACCACCGTTTGTAAAAAAAAAGAGTTTTTTTCCTTCAAATACTGCCCCAATTTATATACCAAATTTAGTTAGTCCACAATTGTTTGCAATTGGTTACACATCCGTGAACGGAAGCCAGCTATAGTCTGGTTCCTATATTCCTGACAATTCCCCGACGTCTACAAATTGCTCCGTTTCATCTGAAGTAGGGTCAGGGAACCAGACTACAAGAACAGCATTTTTTTCTTGGTTTTTCAGCATCTATGAACACAAAACTTTCAAAAGGTTAGTGTAAATATTTGCTATAAAATACCAACCCCCTAATCCATCCAGTTCTGAAAATAACAGCAAAAGCAAATGTTGTATATCCCCTTTAATGAGTTAACTTTAAATTGTCCTGAAGTACTTTACACAAACCATTCGACACAGAAACGTTGACATTTTTGATGAACCTGCTCAATTAAGAACACCCTTAAAAATCAGCATAATACCAAAAAAAGAGAGAATAAAAGCAAGTTTTACAAGACCAAGTCCGACTTTAAAGGGAGAAGAAATAATAAAGAGAATAGAACAAAATAATATAGAAACATTACAGGGCCATGTATTACCACTAACAAGTGGTGTAAGAAACACAAGTTTATAACTTTTGTAAACCTGCTCGCGAGAGGCATCCGCAAAGAAAACAAAGTGAAACATTTGCTGCGTCGACAAGTAGCAGGTCCCTTTTAATTTACTCTCTTCTCCATACAGTTTGGGGGAACGAGAATATTTCGGGAATTAAATCACGCTGCGATGTCCACTCTGTCCCGACGTGGGTTTTTCTCCAGTTACCCGCTTGACCTCTGTCGATTTGACAAGTTAAAAGTCCTTAGCGGAGCATATTTTTTTTGTATCATGTTTCAGGTTACAATTAAGGAGCATATCATGCATAACGGAAAACACTGTTGAAACAATGTATAGACCCTTTGCATATTTCACCATGACAGTGGGCAGGTCTTTGTGTCTGTGCGGTACACTTGATAGTGCTTTATAGATTTAAATAACAAAACATGCCCGCTGTCATGGTGCACCGTGCAAAGGGTCTATTTTCAATGTGTCAGACTTAGGCAATGCGTTCAGCTGTATGACAAATTGCTCTCTTGTCTTTTGAAATGTCCTTTGGGTGTTTTTTTATAAGAGACTTGGGTAAAAGAGTTCATAGATCATCGCAAACCTAAATCGGTTCTCTAGTGGGGCAGATAGGGGAAATATTTGGGGGAATTGTGCCTTTGATGATACGAGCATTGAATTTGGCACACAGAGTATGTCATGAGAAGGATATTTGGCTATAGGGCCATCGCAGATTTGTCCCTAAGGTAGGTAGATAACAAGCAATGACAGCCATTTTGAAAAATTTGAAAATTGCTTGTTATTCTAGGCCTACCTATATTTTTTTCATAGGACAAATCTGCGATGGCCCTATAGCCAAATATCCATACTCTTACTGTGTGCCAAATTCCATGCTTGTATCATCTGCCGTACTACTCGGTGGAGTTATACTTTCGGTCTACAGGTTTAGCATTTCGAACTTCAAGATTACTTAAAATGCAGTCAGATTGTAAGATATCAGTGACCTGAAGTGCTCTTGGTGAGCTTAGAGAAAAATGGTGCAATAGTTCAAATCAATCCCCACCTGATATGCAGTATTGTACTGCAGCTATGGTTTTAATTCAGTTTTTAAATTTATTTGTGTAATCAGAAATTGCAATGATGTTACCGTACGATGGAGGAGAGTGTTTCGAGTGGAGTATGGTATTTCTACCGTGACAACGTATTTTTTTCTTTGACCGGTACCGTTGGCCAGGACACCGGTCAGGCGCGTGCGGGAGCGTGTCAACCAAGACAAGAACAAGTCTCCCAGCGGGGTCTATCCACTGAAAAGAAAACAACTTTCTCATTTGACCCTTAAATGGCCCAGCATTGTAATTAGTTACACCTTTATATATAATTGTATAATTCTGTACATACTTGCTGGTTTAGCCACGTATTGTTACACAAGTTACAACCCCGAATTGAGGTTTGGAGTTGACTTAATGCTTGAAATTTAGAACAGTAAGAAAGTTCGACATTGAAAAAAACACAAACCCATATCCATGCTCTATCACAGATGTAGGTTTGGTATAGATACTCTATGCACTTGAACACTTGACCTTGGTAAGA